GTTCAATTCTATAGTGGTAAGAACTTTTTTGGTCATTGAGGTAAGAAGTGTTTAGTGATTTAACGTGGCTTGATTGTGTTAAGTAGAAATGGTGTAAAAATTCATATTGATTGTTGTATTTATTGGCTTTTAATTCAAGCAATATGTGACATGGATTGGAGAGAAAATTTTAGCGTGTTTTTTCATGGTTTGAAGGGAATATTTTATCTTAAATTTTGGCATATTTTTTATGTATTGAAATAGAATATGTGTTAAGTTGTAGCTATGTGAGATTGTGGTATCTAAATGTATAAGTGTACTATTTTTTATTACACTTCTGTCATTTTCTACTTTTGGACTGCACAACCACGTGGGTCTCTATAAGTTTATGGGTAATTTATGCTTTTTTTTTTTTTTTTTTAAATTCATTTTCTAATAATATAATTACACTAACTAGTTATTCTTGACATAAATATAAATTTTAGTATCTACAAGAATGTGGACACAATTTCTAGGACGGAGGGACTATAAAAAACTAAATATTTAATTGATATTTTTTAAATAATAAAAAATCTCACCATCAAACACAATCATAAATATATTAATCACTATTTATTTTATATATAAACCATTATTAATTATTTAAAAATTAATTGATGTAACTTTAAATTTCCAGTTACCGCCGCTCCATGCGCTTTCTCTCTTTTCTTCTCCTACTTTTTCTTCTTTCTTCTTTCTTTCATCCTTTTCTTTTTTCTTCCATATTAGTTCTTTCTCTTTTTTCTATATTAGTTCTTTCTTTCTCTTTTATTCGTTCTTGCTGCAACTCTCATCCTCTTATTCTTTTTTTTGCCATTCTTTTCTTTTCTTATTTTCGGTTCTTTCTTTTTCCTTTGTCTTTGTTGTTTTAGCATTGTAGTTAGGGGGCCTGCAATTTATTTTTTCTTCTCCCAGCTGCAGTTGACTTTGAGATTCACCAGAAACCACCGGTGTCAAGGGGCAACGGACCTCCCGGGTCCCCACGTAGCTCCGCCCCTGAAGACAATATTACTTATACTTCTTCAATTGTTCAAAGCTTTATATATATATATATATATATATTGTTTTAGGGAAAAAGTAGATATGGTACACTACTTATTCCAATATTATGTAACTTGAACAACTATAAGTTTTAATCATGAGTTTTGGTCAAAATAAGAATGTAAATCCAACATGGTAGTCTAAATCGATAAATGAAAGGCAAATATTGAAAAATACTATCGAACATTTTCAGGTTAGCATCAGAGTTCTGTTGGGTTAATTTTTCCCAACATGCCACCGAGAATTATAACTCTTATGCCTGCACGGTTTCATCTTGCTCGTAAATAATAAATAATTGAAGTAATAGATAAAATTTTACTCCATTCAAAATTAAACTCCCCCATTTTATAAGTATCTAAACTATAAATATATAAAATTTCATACAATTGTTGTTGCTTTCACTTTGAAAAATTGTAATAGCATGTGGAGTATAAAGTAACAATAACCGCAAGCACAAAACATTCAGATTTATGCACATGCTATTCAATTTACATTTGCTATATAAACTATCTTTCATTAAGTATTCTAATGTAATAATTGTAAAATTCCGGTGAACATAGATTTAAGTAGGCTAAAAATTGCACAATATAGACAAAATGCAACAATATATATGTAAGAAATAGGGTGGGGAGTAGGGAAGTCTTGTGTTTGGTTTGAAAGTAAAGAAGAGCAAAATTGATCACTTAAGAAAAGAACTCGTTGGCCTTAAATAGGAACTTCCGTCCCTCGTTGATGGCTTGTAGTGCTCAGTGGTCAAATTTGCTCTTTCAGACCATAGTTTCGCAACTTTGTTAGAGTAGCTGGTTGTGTAAACTTATAAATATATATATTTTTTTATTTTAGCAAGAATGTTATGGGACACATAGATTTAGGGAAAATTATACTTCATCCATCCGATTATCAGTCTGTTTTAGTGTATACACGACAATTTATAAGGAGTATAGTTAGTAAATAATTAAGAATATATTAGTGAAAATAATTATTGTATAATAAACACTACAAAAAAATATCAATTTTATAACAGGATTTTTTCGTTTTTAAATCCATTTTTTCCGCTACTAATGATATTAGAGACGGAATTAGGAATGAAATTACGTTAGCTACGTGAACTTTAGGAACAAAATTCCGTTACAAATATACTATTTTTTTGTAGTGAAAAATAATTATAGATCAATATTAAGATAATAAATTAGTCTAATTAAAATTTAAAAAATTATAAATTTAAAATCTTAAAATAAGATTAAAGTGTATAATTCTTTTCCAAAAAAAAGAGTGACAAAATAAATAGGATGGAAAGAAATGGAAAAGTGAACATGGTAAATGGGACGGAGGGAGTAATAAATATCTCTTACATAGGACCAATTTTCACTCTTGTCTTTTAAATATTATCCTGAAAAAATATATCCCCACGTGTTTCACTTTTTTGGGATTTTTATCATGCAGACGCGCACTACAAGAAAAAAACATTTTTGTAACAAAACTATTTTTGTCTCTAAATTTACTTTTTCCGTTACTAATGACATTAGAGACGGAATTAGGAATGAAATTACGTTAGCTACGTGAATTTTAGGGACGGAATTCTGTTACAAATATATTATTTTTTTGTAGTGGCGCGTCAAGTTCATGACTAATACAATCTCACACATGCGGAGTGGGATTGTGCTATGGATGATGAAAATCATAAAAAAGTAAAATTTATGGAATATATTTTTCTTGAGTTATAATTAAAAGACAATAATGATAATTACTCACTTCTGACCCTAAAATACCAAAACGATAAAAAATGTAAATCCATTTTTAGACTTGAAATTTGAGAAAATTCGCACGGTTCATCCAAACTGACCAAACAAATAAACCAGTGATATTGTTTTGTCCATCTAAGGTTGATGATTGAAATTTATGTTTTGATTCTAAAATGTGATTCTTGTGTGTGTTGCGTTGTAGCCGAAAACTTCTCATCAAATAATAGAATTTTCTCATTTCAACCGGTGAGTGTCAGGTCAGACTCAGGCATAAGTGTAAGGGAAATTTTGAATAAAAATGGTAGATGAAGGTTAATGCGATATATTATATACTTTGTACGATGGAGTGTTGCGTGAAAATGAACACGAGAAATATCTGCTTGCTAATACACCTCACAATTTAGAGATTATTAGATCTATAGGTACTCTAGAAAGTTGTACTAGTTATTGATTATTGAGCCGATGATCTATCGCTAGATACATGTGTTATTGTTCTGCAAGCCATTCTCTTCAATACTCCCGACTGATGAATCAATTAACTAGCTTGCCACCTACCTTTTATTATATTTTTCTAAGTCAAATTGCACGCGAGGTGCTCACGTGAGCACCTTAAGTCTATCTAGCAGTGCATTTTCTTTTCAGATTCATCTAACTAGATTCGATTGTGTAACTTATATATGTTTCAAATCTCATTATCTTAAGGTGTGTCGCGAGTTGATATTCCGCATTTATGTCATCCATGAGTGAGAGTTCGATGGAAAAATATGATATTTTATTACTTAAGTATTAAAGGAAATTAAACATTGCGAGTAATTGGGAATTGACCCTTGCGAGTTTAACTACTAATTGAATGTGCGTTACACTAAAAAGCTTACAAATTTATCTAAGTGCAGAATTTAAATGGAACAGGTGGCTAGCACGTGACTCCTGTCATGAGTGCTATCAACCACCCGCGTCTAGCGTCTAGAGCTCCTTACAACTTAAGCTCTCTTCCAACGAAATACGATTTTTAGATTATGAATTTTGATAAATGAGCTCCGAGTTGGGTCCTATTTATAGGCGTTGACTTAACTTCTAGAAGGTGATATATGCCACTGACAGCTGGTGAATTAACTCTCCACCGTCCAATCCTGTAGATGTTGATTTGTAATCAATCGCTAAGATGGCTTTTGACACGGAGTAAGACTGAGGTCATGGTCAATTATGTTCTCTTCTATCATACAGTTGACTTCGCCTTTCTTTATTTTCTTTCCTTGTGACGCAGCTAAGTGATCTAGCACCCGGCTTGTTTTTTTCGCATGTATCCTCTTTGGAATACATAATATTTTTCTTATTTTCACATTTGAAATACTCCAAAATTATCCTGGCACATCAAGTCGTACTAGAAAGGACACAACACATATTTACCAGGAAATTTTAGTACAAATTATATCAATTTCAGTCCCAAATCACGAGAAATGCTTATAGAAATTGCTAGGAAAATATGTCCAAAATTAGTGTTATCAAACTTTCTCACACTAGCCTTTGTTCGTCCCTAAATAAAGTAAATCAAAAGTATAATTAACGAAATATTCGTGCTAGTAAGAGATTTTCTAGAAAAGTTTTACGATGGTGCTTAGGAAGAATCTTAGTGAATCAACACGATCCTTAAAACTTTTACCTCGCTAGACTAATCAAACTGTGTATCAAATACTCTCGAGTCTTGGAACTCATTTCGCCAAAGGGGATTTTTACAAGCATTTTTAGCTTAGCGGTGGCAACACCTTTCAGACATCATTTTCAATGATAATATTTTTATTTAAGCTTTGATGTTTATTTTCTTTCTTTATCGCTTATTATATTTCAAAATTGATTGGAGTGCGACATTGCGCATTTCTCTCAATCTGATTGCTTTCTTCAGTTTTTGGCCACATAAGACAAATCCCATGTCGTGTTCCTTGTCTATTGATCTCATTTTTAAAAAAAGAAAAGATGCTATGTTTTCTCAAAACAACTCAGTAGATGCAAAAAAAAAGGTCACATGCAATTCAACTAAGTGTGGATAAAATGAAACGATGGGCCATTGATTATTCAATCACTCAAGTAATTACTTACATTGAAAATTATCCTAATTATTGAACAATTTCAGCTTCTAATTACTTAGTTCATGCTTGCAAGTTTTTAAAAACTAATCTCTAACATGTTCGTGAGACAACATCATAAGGATTAAATGCGATTAAAGTCATAGACACACAGTTAAGATAGGACAATTAGATACACTGTCAAAAAGATCAATCTAGTCATACAAAAAGACATGTGTGGTACTTCGAAAATTCAATTTAAGGATTACTATCAATCATTGGGGATACCCAAGCCAAGTCCGGAAATATTGGACTAGCATGGAGAGGTCTATTTTCATCATCCTCAGCCTGGTGTTCACACCATTCTTTCAATCATTGACCTCGCCTCTGAGTCCCTCCAGTTGAGCCTACAATGATACATCACATGGGTTAGCGCATGTGTTGTAGTCTTTGGTTGCGAGCCAGTAATATCCACATCTATGTCCGTTCCTTGAGTTAGTTGCGAGGAATAGGGGAATGTTGTCTGCATTTTTTGAGTTTCATCAGTTGGCGAAATGATGATGGGCATAGAAATGTAAGTAGCAGCCGCTTCCTCTTCTTCGCGCACGCGCTGATATGCTTCCTTGGTGCGAATATCTTGCACGACTTGTTCATAGGCGCTTGCCAACCAATCTTTCTCCTCCCACCAAGCAAAGAATTCTTCCATTATTTCAAAGGTAGCCACGATTTGAGCTTCAATCATCAGGACTTCATCTCAATTTCAAATTTTCTTCTCTTCTCGGCCTCGCATCTCTCTTCCTCTTTCTTTTTTTTTTATTTCCTTTCTTTGGCCTCCTTCTTCTTTTGCATAATCAATCGTTTTTTGGCCTCCAACTCCTCCTTCTTTCTTAATTCTGCAAGGTGTGTTGCTTCTTGCTCCTGGCGCTTGGCTTCCTCCTCAAGCCTTCTTGCCTCTACCACAAAATCATCCAAGGAATCTCCATGTTCAGATGGTGATTGTGATGTTTCTTCCTAAGTGTCATGGCTAATGGTTTGCATGGGCAGTGAAATGGTAACTATTTCCTGCTGAGCTGGTGGTGGCTAGAGATCCTTGTCGTCCATCCCCAGTTGTTTGAAGGTCAACATATCATCCTATTCCTAGGATTAATATTGGTGCTTTGGACGAACAGGCTCTAGGAATGGCTGACTGAGGGGTTGTAATGATGGCTCTTGAATAACTATTCTTTTTTTACGTTGGGTGGCTACTGCTACAAGTTCGGAAATACGGGTGGCGGCTTCTATCATCTTTCCCTTTCCTTTTTCCTTGGGCTGCAACGACGATGGTTTTTCAACTACTGCAAATTCATCATCCGATTATGTTTCTGAACTTTCTCCCATTTCCTTACTACTCAGCCTTCGCAATAGAGAGGGAAGAACAAGTGGTAAATCAGCCTTTTTCGCCTTCTTTTTCCTTAGCTACATAGCTTGTCCTGAAGTTGGTGTTTTTCTTTTCAGCATCAGTGGGAAGTTCATCGATAAGAGCCATCGGTGGTGGAATTCCAGGGGTGATGATGTTGGCAGATCAACTAGTGCTTGTTCAACTGGGATTTCGACTACAACGTAGGAAAGTTCTATAATCAGGTGGCCGTGCACTAGGGCGACTATAAATGAATCCAGACGCGTAGAGATGTCATGGCAAATTAGCTCACCAATGGTTACTGGTTGATTGCATGAGTTTCGCCACCACGAATAGGTTTTTTGCTCCAATCTTTATGAAATGCGACATGCAGTAGTTCCTGGTGGCAGCCCATTTGATCAATGGCTTGTATTCTCCCTTGATGATTTTCCAAGATAATTTATTGTTGGCTCAATGGTGCAGCTCCTTGCAAAAACAGAAAATAGTCACATTAATTGTTCATCGATTGCGGAATCCAGTGATTCACAGGACTCCAGGGACTTTTTGTATGGGAGGTCTAGCATCTCTCTCAGTGATAAATGTTTGTTATTGCCTTTGGACTAGCATCTATTCTCTTGACTCGCACGTAGACACTATCAATTCATTTCTCGGTATGTAGGTTGGCGTAAAACTCTGAGAATCTCCACATTTTATATACTCCACTAGATTCGCGAGCAGTTGCAGCAATCCTTTCTTTGATGCCTAGCTGATTAGCTCTTCGTTAAAAAATTGAGTCGAACCCCTTTCTATTATATGGCTCTTGGATCTGAGGAGTTCGTGCTGCGCAAAAGGGGCTACATTCACAAAACATGCTGGGTCAAAAGCATTAACCTCCATCGCCAGCTTTGCGGCTTTTTCTGCATCTCCCCTGGTTAATTCAGCCTTCATAGTTTCCATTTCAATCTCGCCGTAAATATTTTTTTTCTGCTCCTCCAACTCCAATTCACACTCGCCTGGTAACTCAAACTTGGATCGCACGCGGTCAAATTGTTCTTCCATGTACTTAACCAAAATATCAGGTGAAATCCATCAATACACAAGCGGCAGCTGGTTGCGTTCAATTTCCACCAAAGGATGATAGTCCTCTGAGAACTTGTTTGGCTCCTCGTGATAAAGGTCGGCAGACAGCCCTTATAGCGCCGCTCAATTCTAAGTCACACGCAAGCACTGTTTTCTTTTGTAGAACGCAGCTGGTGGCAAAGGTTCTAATAAAACCGTACGAGACGTGGTAATACCTTTTTCCAGCTGCTAGATCTGCTAACTTCGCGACCTTCGTTTCAAATTCTTTGTCAAGTTCCTCAAATTTCTTCTGTGGTTTCTTTTTCCTTTCCTCCTTATAAATCGCTACAGCTCTCCTTAGATTATGTACATCCTTCCGCATGTTTGCAAACGCCACAACTAGTAAATTGTGCGAATAGCCTGGTTGCTTTTGGATTTGTTATTCTATTGCTTTAAACTATGGTGTGCAAACCCCTACAAAATAATCGGGACAGAAATTCTTAATACTATCAATAGATTCTAAAGGGGTGGTGTTAAAATCGTAAGGTTGCGAGAGAGGGGTTAGGTCCAAAGCTTTGGTTCTGAATTTCTTAGGACACCAACGCTTCCCTCTTCATAGCGCAAAACCCAAGTAGGCTAGGGCTTCCTCAGAGCGAAGGAATCTCGCATATTCTAACAAGGATCCTATAGGAACTTTAGAAATAGCTAAGTATGGGAATCTAAATCCTTCCCAAATAGAATGAAGTTTCTTAGGACAAAACAAATAAACCTTAATAGGTTTAACTTGCAAAAGAATATAATAGGCAGTTCAAATGCACATTGAGCACAGAGTTTGAGAAAAAACTATTCGATCGACATGAAAAATACTAGGATCGAAAACATGTAGTTTAATGCAAATTTGATCCATGAAATTGAGTGATCGTACCTTGTTATGCATGAATGAAGTGTAGTTTTTTTATTGGGCATAACGAACTCACTCAATTTACAGAGTTTGAAAAGATGTCGTACAAAGGAAGTTTTACAGAGAGAGAAAATTGTAGGTTTTTTGTCACGGGTGGAGGGAAATGAAAGGTTGTAGGCTTGTAAGGGGCTTGGCAGCATTTTTAGAAATTCAGGGAGTTCATGGGTCAAAAAAATAATTTCCAAAGCTTTAGTTATGATGATCGTGTCGCGAGGATAGCCTCATGATTCGTGCAAGTTAGGATCTTAGATTATATTCTACAAAGTTGTAAATTTACTCTAGAATGCGATAAATTCATTCTACGCACACGATAAACTAAAGAAAAACATGTAACTGAATTTAAAATTTGAAAAGTTTAAGGATACTGAGAAGGATACTCTTTGATCAGTGTCAGCCTTCCTTTCTTGCACTGAATGTTCGTGCGTCTTCATGCAACTTAAATGGATGGATTTGTGGATATTGGTGGTAATTCTTGTTAATCGCGAACCATCCTTCCAGAAAATTCTTTAAACACGTTCTATTTTCTAAGAAACCATCATGATCATCTGCGAAATTTGGATTGTAGATCCACACCTCACTATTGATCAAGACTTCCTTCACAACAAAAAGGTCAGTCCATCATGACTTTAATTTCCCAGGGAACAAATGTAGGCGCGAATTGTAGATGCATTCCAAGTGTTTGTGACGAATCATCTTGTCCGGGTAGAATTGAATGCGTTCTTTATAAATCTTTGTGTTTTTATATGCAAAGAAATGAAACTCATCCAAATCCATCAAAAATTTCTTTATCTTTTCTTGCGTGGGTAAAATGTCAAAATTCAAGAACTGAATTGCCCAATATGCGCGACGTTCTATTTCCAGAGGTAAATGGCAAGATATTCCATAAACTAATCTGTATGGCGACATCCCAATTGGAATTTTGAATGTTGTGCGATATGTCCATAGCGCATCATCCAGTTTCAGAGACCAATCTTTTCAGTTTTTTCCAAAAATTATCTGCAAAATTGGCTTTAACTCGTGGTTACTAACTTCGACTTGGCCATTGAATGTGGATGGTAAGGGATCGCGAGGTTGTGGCGAACTTTTTACTTTGAGAGAAGTGCAACGAATCGCTTGTTGACAAAATGTGTACCCACATCGCTAATAAAAGTCCTGGGAACGCCAAAATTCGAGAAAATATATTTTTGAAAGAACTTGTTACTTAACCCCTGTCATTTGTGGAAAGAGCAATTGCCTCAACCCATTTGCTGATGTAATCCACCATGACTAGGATGTAAGTATTCCCATGATACTTTGGGAATGGTCCCAAAAAATCAATCCCCCACACATCGAAGATATCTACTTCTAAAAAATTTTTTTGTGGCATTTCATCACATTTTGTAATGGTACCCAATCTCTGGCATGCATCGCATTGCTTGACAAACGTCTGGACATCGAGGTGTATTATTGGCCAGTAAATCCAAATTGGAGTACCTTAGTAGCAGCGCGTTGCATCGCAAAATGACCACCTACAAATAAGTCATGGCATTCAGGAAAAATGCGAGGTATCTCAGAATTGGACACGCAACACCTTATGATTCCATTTTTTCCAAAATAAAATAAGTATGGTTCTTCTCAGAAATAATGATTGACAAGACTTAGAAAATTCTTCCTTCCTTTGTAATCCAAATGCTAAGGCATAATACCGTTTGCATGAAAATTAGCATAATCTGCGCACCAGGGTGTGGTACCTTGCAAAAAATACAACTTTCATCAGGAAAAAATTCATTTATACTTGATGGTGACGTCTCTGCAAGTAGCCTGCTAAGATGATCGGCTACTTGATTATCACTTTCTTTTATGTCTTTGATTACTATATCAATTTCTTGAAATAACAATACGCATTGAATCAGATGTGGTTTAGAATCTTTCTTGTCCATTAGATACCTGAGTGTTGCATGATCAGTGTACACAATTGTCCTAGATCCAACCAAGTAAGGTTTGAACTTTTCAAACGCAAAGACAATTGCTAAGATTTCCTTTTCTGTAGTAGTGTAATTGCGTTGAGCACCATCCAAGGTCCTACTTGAGTAATGGATAACATAGTGCTTCTGTTCCAGTTTCTGGCCTAACACAACGCCTACTACATTATCACTTGGATCATATATAAGCTCAAAAGGTCGACTTCAATCAGGCGCTTCAACAATAGGTGAAGAAATTAATCTCTCATTGAGGCATTGAAATGCGTATCGCACTTTTATGTCCATATAAAATGAGTATCCTTACACAATAAAGCAGTGATAGGTTGTGAGATTTTGATGAAATCCTGAATAAATCTTCGATAAAATCCAGCATGTCCCAGAAAACTTCTGCAACTTTCTTGCAGTTCAGAGCTGGCATTTTTTCAATCACACTTTGATGCGAACGCAACCGAATGATTCAGAAACTCGCAAACCACAGAAAATAAAGAAATAGAAAGATGCGGAATTTGATGGAAGAAAGAGAGATGAAGAGGATATAGATAGAAGGATACTTTGGTTTCTCAATTCACAAGGTTGGTCAAATGAGCACCACATGAGAACTAAGCAACACGCAACACAAAATCTCTAAACCAAATAAAGAATAAAGAAGGATAATCTGGATTCTCGATCCACATGGTTGGTCGGATTAGCACTGCGTGAGAACTAAGCAGCACGCAACACAAAATTTCTAAACCAATCAAGGAATAAAGAAGGATAATCTGGATTCTCGATCCACATGGTTGGTCGGATGAGCACCACGTGAAAACTAAGCAGCACGCAATACAAAATCTCTAAACCAATCAAGGAATGGAGTTCACATAACAAGCGGTCCAACACCGATTGAGAGGCGACGAATTGTCTCGAATCACTAAAAAACAACCCAATTTTGAAAGATTACCGAGGATTGCATCACATAATCTCGAGTAACCAAGCAAACAAGAATCACTCTTGAAAGCAAAGAAATTTTATAAGAAATATCATGGTTGTCTTTTTACAATGATAAACAAGGCCTTTATATATAGGTCCTTGAGGATAGAAGAAATGAAACATTGAAAAAGGAAACATATTAAAATGCAACATATAAACTAGGAAATATAAAAATAAGGAAACAACATATTAGGAAATATAGTAAAAGGAAACTTATACTATAAGGTAATAGGTAATATGGAAACCTGGATTCCTTCCATAATTATTGATATTATTTGTTGGCAGTCTTGGTTGGTAGTCTCGAATCTTATAATGATGATCACGGAATGATTAAGTGATCGGGGAATCAAACTTATAATACTCCATAGCTGGTCTATCTTTGGCAGTCTCTTCGATAATGGAATTCATGGTACGATTGTCCAAGAAAAACATAGCCATTTGAATCTTTCGTACTCGGCTCCGGGTATTCACTTCAGCTAGGAAAATTGATGATTTAGTAGCTCTCATGGTGGTCACATCATATTTACTTTTGACTTATATATTTCTATGCCCTCGATGGAGAATTTGTGGTCCAAAACAATACCCTCTGTGACCATGAAAGGGCATTTCTCCCAATTTAAAACAAAGTTAGATTTGGTGTAGCAAATCAACATTTGTTCCAGATTCGCGAGGCATGCAGAAAATGTTTTTCTATATATAGAAAAGTCATCCATGAATACTTACACACATAAATCTAACAAATTTATGAAAATGTGACACATACACCTTTGAAAAGTTGCAGACACGTTACATTACCCAAATGGCATCTTCGATATGGGAAAGTTACATAGGGGCATGTAAACGTGGTTTTTTCAACATCAGCAAGATTAAGTGGGATTTTATGATATCCAGAGTAACGATCTAGGAAGCAATGAAACTCGTGACCACTCAATTTTTCAAAACATTGATCCAAAAAGGGTAGTAAAAACGATCTTTGCATGCAACTGCATTCAACTTCCTATAATCGATACATACGCGTCATCTAGTTACTGGCCTTGTCATGACTAATTCACTTTTCTCATTTTTTTTCTATGCAAATCCTCCCGTTTTTGGAACCAATTGGGTAGGGCTTACTCAGTCACTGTCTGAGATCGTCATTATGATTCCTGCATGAAAAAGTTTTGTTACCTTTCTCTTTAGGGCCTCTTGCATAATCTCATGGAGTCTATGTTGTGGTTGACGACATGGTTTTGTGTTCTCCTCCAGATAAATGTTGTGCATGAAAACTGTGGGGCTTATTCCCTTGATGTCACCTATTGACCACGCGATGGCTTCCTTATATTCTCTTAAAATTGAGAGCAATTGTTCTTCCTGATCATCACGAAGACTGCTAAAAGTAAAAACTGGATATTCATTGTGTTCTTTCAAAAATGCATACTTTAAATGATCAAGGAGCTTCTTAAATTCAAATTTTGGCTTAGCCATGTTATTCTAGGTTTCTCTTGGATGTGCTCGTGAGGATCTGCATCGTGATCATGCTCAAATGCTTCAAATATTTATATTGATTGAGGTTGATCGCGTTCAAATTTCTAAAATGAATTATTTATTAAATTATAGTCGATTGTCGATATACAATTTATTTCCATTGGATCAAAGTCAATATTGTCATTTTGTGGATGCAGCATGGCATTTTGCATTCAAATGTGACTTTGTCATCGTTAAGTTGCAATGTTAGTTCACCTTTGGCAAACGTTGATATTTACTTGCGCAATGGCAAGAAAAGGTCTCCCTAATGTAAGCGGAGTGTCCTTATCCTTTGATATTTCCATGATAATAAAATCAGCTAGAAAAATGAAATCATGCATCAAATATGATTCTTTTGGAATTTTGACAGATTTATCGGCTAGTTGAATCACAGTTCTACAAAGTATTAGATTATACAATCCTAATTGTGTGTACAAGGAAAATGACATTAGATTGATACTTGCTCCTAAATCGCATAATGTCTGTTTTAGTTCTAAGTTTTCTAATGTACATGCTATTATGAAACTCCCAGGGTCTCCCATTTTCTAGGTAGTTCTCCTTTAAAAATAGCACTACATGTTTCTATTAGTGAAATTTGTGTCTTATTCTCAGGAAGTGTGTGCTTCTTTGCCAAAATGCCTTATAAAAAT